CTAACCCGTTCTTTCTTTCGTAGGTCCTAAGGGACCATGGGAGGCTTCGGGGAGGCTGACCTTTGCGGACGGACATGCAAGGGTGCCGTACGACTTAGGCAAAACCAGCTAAGTCCATGACAGAACGTCTGGACTTTCGACGAACTCTCGAACTCCCAACGAGATCATATTCTTGACTCCGGGACTTCATTTTGCTTTATGCCTTGCTATCGTAGTTAATCATGCACACATAAAAACCTACTTCGATCTAGACAATTAGTACTAAGCTAATCAGATATTATTCGTCATATCATTGGTTCATCGATACTTCGTCCGATTCTTCGATACATCGTTCTCTCTTATGGCCTATTGCCTAATCGGCCAGTTTGACCACTACAACTCCGATTTCCTTGGTGCAATATCCGCTCTTCTTGGCTCGATGCCTGAACTCATGGCCCGAAGTCTTCTATCGATACGTCAACCAATCCTTCGGTGCGATGTCTAATCTTCTGACATGTTTTTATCCGGCTCAACATGATTCTTCCTGCTTTAATTATCTCTTCCTGATCAAAGCATCCTGCATCACTATAAACGCAGATCAAATCATAAATACTATCAATTGGTTTCATCATCAAAATCCGAGATTCAACAGAAAGAGGGCTTGCTTTAGTTACCCATTTAACTTTATGTCCTTTAGGGTTAGATCTAGTTGTCTTTTGGCTTTAAATTACTTATGAATTTTTTAGGAATCTAAAGTGGCTATATTTCTTAAGAGAGCATGTGTAAGCATAGTTATAAAGAGAGCATGTGTAAGCATAGTGATCAAATTTTTTATAAAAACTTATATTTAACTTTTTGATGTGTATGAGTATACAATATAGGTCCTTTTAGTTGACTTTTAAATGACTGCTACTACTTGTAAAGCTAATACACATCAGAATCATATCAAGTGACTTATTTTTAGCAATACACATCAGAATCATATCTTTTCTTAATATACAATCTTATTTAGCAAGAATCATATCAAGTGACTTATTTTTTATTTTTAAATTTTTTAATATATGTCTTAAGAACATCTTTTCTCTTTCAAACGATTCTATTACATCATTATTATTAAGACTCTTTTAAGTAATATTTAAGTTTTTCATTTATGGCAAGTAAGTCATTGTTTGTATTTTTCAAGGCATGCAATTCTAATGATTTTTGAAATACTTTTTTTTAAGTTCAAGATGAGATGATTCTAAATCTTCACAAAGAAGTACAAGATGCTGATATATATTTGTCATAATTATTTTTTTAATACATCAAATTCATTAGTGAGTGAGAATGATTCATTTTTAGTAAATTATATTTTTTATCAATCTTTTTAAGTTCATCATATAAATCATGAAATATTTTAAGTAATTCATCATGCGGTAAAAAAGTTTTGTGAGAGTAAAATACCTCATTATTAAAAGTCATTAAGGCATAATTTGTCACTTCTTTTTTATTGATTTATTTTTTTGTACTTTTGACTCACTTAGTTTATCTCATATTATCTTGAATACTTTCTTATTCTTTTGGGTTGATGATTTTTTTTTAACTGTGAATACTTAAAAGTATCTTAACCTTTTGCACTCATAGTATATGAGTGACTATCTCTTTTTTGGACTCAATTTATTCTTATATTCTCTTCTTGTTAGATTTGTCTTATTTTTCCTCGTGAACTTTTTAAATTTTTTTGTAAGAAGTGTTATGTCTTCATCGTATCACTAAAGCTTTCACTCAAGTAATCTTTTTTTTAGATTTGAGAGCAATATTCTTCATTTTTATAGAAGGCTTTTTTCTTTTTTATCATATGTTTTGTATGTCATTTCATAGGTCATTAAAGATCCTATGAGTTCTTCGAAAGGAAGATTATTTAAGTATTTAACTTCTTAGATTGTTGTTATCTTTAGATTTTAACTTTTAAGATGAGACTTTAAAATCTTACTCACCAATTCAAGATTAGTATAATTTTTACCAAGAACTTTTAATCCATTGACAACAACCATTGGTATACGTGTCACTAATAGATTCGCTTTGCTTTATTTTAAATAATTTATAATTATAACCAAAAGATTAATTTTGAATTCTTTTACTCTAATTGTGCTTTATTGAGTGATTTCAAGTATATGCCATATATTATATATAATATAATAAGTAGAAACTCAATTGAACTTATTTTCATCTAAAGCACAAAATAAAGCATTCAAAACTTTAGTATTTAAAGAAAATATCTCTATCTCATTAAACATGGAAGGATGTGATAGAGTATCCTTTTTTATTACTTAAAAATATAATTTATTCTATCTTAGGTGTTAATCCAAATGAGAGAATCTTATTCTGATAATAATTGTTATAATCTTAATGACACTAAGGGGGGGGGAGAGTAAATTAGTGCAATAGCATTTTTAATTGATTTTAAAACTTGATTAATAAATCAATATATTTTGAAAACTCAATTGATAAAGTTAAAGTTGCAAATAAAAAGAATAAAACTAAGTTACAAGTAAACCGCAAGTAAAGAGAGATAAATTAATTTATAATGGTTTGGTCTTTCTGACCTATGTCCATTTCCGATTTTTCCTTCTCTCGAGGTCGTCTGTTTTTACTATCGATCTTTTTGTAACAAACGAAGACCAACTACCATTGTTATAATTTTCTTTTTCTTTTTTTTCAGGCTAAGGAGATAACATTCGCACTTTTTTTTATATAAAATCTCTCACCTCCTATAACTTAGAATTATAATCAAACTCAAGAGAATGAGAAGACTTAGACTATTCTCAAAATAAGAGTTTACAATACTTTATTAGCTTAGGAATGAATGCTCAATTAACCAAGTTTGAGTAAGGTATTTATAGGCCCAAAAGACTTCAATAATTGAGCCAAAAATTTAAATCTAAAAAATTTTGGTATACGAGTGATACTACCACCAACACTGTTGGTACTATCACCAGAACTATATTGCAATCTGGACTCTGGTGGTACTACTACTGACCTACGTAGTAAGTACTACTACCGTCATAAGTGGTAGTACCACCGAAAAGGTTGACAAAGTACAAACAATGCTTATTGGTTGACTTAGACAATACTATTACTTGGGCATAGTGGTACCACCACCTAGGCCTAGTTTAGGCCATCGGTTTGGTCTTCTAATGGGTCCAATCCGGTCCGAGTTTAAGCCAAATAGTTTTCTTGATAAGTGTGTTTTGTTTTAGTCTAATACCAGTTTAAATTGACTCAAAATAATCTCCTTAAAGACCTTGACAAATCAACCATATATTCAACATATTTACAAAGCTTTCGACACCTATACTCGTTTGACATGTAGTCCAATTTTTCAGTACTTCGTTTGAAGCTTTGGTATATTGCCCTTTCCTTTAGTATATCGCCTATTCCATTGGTATATCAACTTTTCCATAACATCCAGTCTTCTGATATAATATTGGATCCTTTTGGCATGATACATGAAATTTTAGTATGAAGTTTGATTTTTGACACGTGGACTAATCCTTTAGCTTGACATCTAATTTTTGACATGATAATTTTCTAGCACAATGTTCGACTCTTCGGCTCAACAGTTAGCCTTCGGTGGTCCAAGCCTATGATCGAAGTATTTTCTATGTTACTTATCTCAATGGCATATTAGTCTAATAAACTGCTTTTATTATCAAAATTAAGAATTCAACATCATGAACACTAATAACATCCAAAACATATTATCATTTTAAAAATTTTAAAACTATAATTTTATCTTCAAATATTTTTACATATACAACATTGTTCTTAAAATCCTTATCAACAATAATTCTATAATTCTTACACTAATTTTGTGTTTAACTCTTCTAGTATATCAAATTTTAACTCCAATACTATCAATCTATTTTTTGCTTATCCACCTAATTTCTTATAAGTAAATTATATATATATATATATATATATATATATATATATATATATATATATATTCTGTTAATAGTCTTTATAAATTCTAATCCCTTATGTAAAAGTATTTCTATATTTCAAGTTGATAATCTAACCCTCAATTGGACTAATTTTTTTACTCCCATTGGCCCAAACATTAAGAGAACACTTGTGCATTACAATTGGTTACTTTTGAACAACCTCTTAATCAACCGTTTGCAATTGGAATACTTAGATAGTGAAGATATCTTGTGTCACTTTCGAATAATGACCTAGCTCTATACTGAAATCAGTTAAGATCTATGTTCATAAGATATAACATAGTTTTACACTAATTATCAATGACCAAAAATAATTATTCATCTTTTTCATCTAGACTTAGGACGAACATCATTGATGGTATTAACTTTGTTATTTCTTCTCTTGATATTTATTACCATAAGCATTAATTCATTGAGAGACTAATAAATCACTCATAAATATTTTAATTGGGTGATCATTAACCCTACACTTTAGCTATTATGAAAGGACCTAATATTTTCATAAGCTTTAATATCTCCTTTCACGAGTAAACAAGGCTATATCTAACATTAAAAGTAAATCCAAGTGCATAATGTAAGTCAATTAAATTGAAATTTTTTAAAAAAATTATTATATTAAATTACGTATATGATGCTAATACATGAATTTGAATATGAGACAAAAAACAGTGTTAAACAAGTATCGATGATATACCAAAAGAAAAGAGTGATAAGATATATTCTCTAATATTATGATAAAAATTTTGATAGTGTGATAAGTAATCTCAAAAGCTTAAAATATTAGGTTATGACTCAATATATTTACAAATTTGAGCAATTTTTTATTATTTCGAATAAACACTCAGTTCAATCACAAGGCCTAGAAAATTATTGCAATTTGTTAGTCAAAATTATTCTTGATAAATAAACAAATTTATGTACATGGGCAGTGGCTTTCAAGTAATTGGCATTATTGTGATTAATTAGTAGGAGAAGGGCTTTTGTGCATTTCTATTGAGGAATAGAGTGCCCTAGCCACGTCTACGGGGGGAGAGAGAGAGAGAGAGAGAGAGGACGGGGGAGGGGAGATTTAAACCCTGCCGCACGCTCGACGACATTGAAGAGGAGGAGAGCGAAGCCCCGGTCAGCCGCCATGTCCGGGATCCACCGCTTGGGCGCCCTCGCAGCACGATCCCTCGCCCGGCGGGCGTTCTCTCCGCCTCCTATGCATCGCCGGTCCTTCGGCGCCGCGGCGCTGGCGGAGGTGGAGTACTGGACGGAGTGGGAGGAGGAGGAGCATGGCAGGTACGCGGCCGCAGCGGCCACGGACGCTTGCGGGGAGAGGGAGCCGAGAAGGGTGCAGTGGGTGTTCATGGGGAGCCCCGGGGTGCAGAGGCATGTGTACGCCACGCGCGTGGCGGAGCTCCTCGACGTTCCCTACATCTCGATGGGCTCCCTCGTTCGCCAGGAGCTGAACCCCAACTCCTCCCTCTACAAGAAAGTATCTCTCTCTCTCTCTCTAATTCATTCTTGACGCCATTATTTTTTCCCCATCTTGGATCCAAATCTTAATTCCTTGCTCCTATTTTGGGTGCCGATCAATTTCCAATGTTGTGTAACCTTAGACAAATGTCGTTCTTGGATTTTTTTGTTTGATCTGTGGTCTCAATTTGGTGATTGTGTCGCCGGATTCGTTCCCGGATTGGGAACATCTTTTCCGTGTAAGAGAGGGGGCTATTTGCGTAGTGGCGGCCATGATTTGTCCTATAGTATGGCTCGGCCGCGTAACCTTAGAGGGGTGATTTCGTCATTTAGCGGCAATTCCTGCCATTGTGCTACGTTAGGGTTTCTGAAACTTAACGTCACTAAGCATTCCCGTACTGACGGCGTCGAAGAGGAGGAGATCGAAGCCCGGGTCAGCCGCCATTGCAGGGATCCACCGCTTAGGCGCCCTCGCAGCACGATCCCTCGCCCGACGGGTGTTCGCGCCGCCGCCTATGCACCGCCGGTCCTTCGGCGCCACGGCCACGGCGCTGGCGGAGGTGGAGTACTAGACGGAGTGGGAGGAGCGCCGCCGCGGCTGCAGTGGCCACAGATGCTTGCGGTAAGAGAAGCGAGGAGGGTGCAGTGGGTGTTCATGAGGAGCCCTTAGGTGCAGAGGCATGTGTATGCCATGCGTTTGGCGGAGCTCCTCGACGTCCCCTACATCTGATGGGATCCCTCGTCTGCCAGGAGCTGAACCCCAGTTCCTCCCTCTACAAGAAAATATCTCTCTCCCTCTCTCCTCCGTCTAATTCATTCTTCACGCCATCATTTTTTCCCCTTCTTGGATCCAGTTCTTGATTCCTTTCTCCAATTTTGGGTGCAGATCAATTTCCTATGTTGTGTAACTTTAGACAAATGTCGTTCTTGGAATTTTTGTTCGATCTGTGGTCTCAATTTGGTGATTGTGCCGTCGGATTCATTCCTGGATTGGAACATCTTTTCTGTGCGAGAGAGGGCTATTTGCGTCATGGATCATCTTACCGGTCCATACTGGTGTACTAACCGACCGTTGGTATAGTATGTATCGAACTGTACTGATGTACCAACAAATGATACAATGGGACATATTGGTAGATCGACATATACCACCCATACCAGTCCCCTATTGGATTGGTATGTATCGTTCATATCAGATAGCACATTGTGGTACGATGAACCTTGATTTGCATAGTGACGATCATGATTTGTTCTATTATATGGCTTGGCCTCGTAACCTTAGAGGGGTGATTTCGTCATTTAGTGGCAATTCCTGTGTTAGGGTTTCTGGAACTTAGCGTCACTAAGCATTTGTTTTGGCGGCATGAAATTTCTACTTTTCGTATCTGCTCATTGTTTCGTTGGAGATTAAACCTTTGAGGGACAATAATAGTAAAATTCATAATAACAATAATAGAAAAAAGCAAGGGCAAATTTTCAGAAAAAGCTAATACTTTTTGAAAATTTTCACATAGCACCCCTACTTTGAAAAATTTTAAAACAGCACCCTTGGTCATAAGAAAAGATCATTTTGCCCATTCTTTCATTGGACTCGCCTCCGCCATCCTGTAGCCCTCGCATGAGGGTCTGTTGTTGGTCGTAGCTCTCGTATAAGGGTTGGCCGTCCCCCTCCGTTGCGTGCGGGGTTGCCCCCCTCCACCTGCAGCCCTTGCACGATGGTTGGTTGCCTCCCTTCGCCTTGCGCGAGGGCTGGTCGCCCCCTCCACCTGTAGCTCTCGCGCGAGGGTTGGCCGGCCCCCTCTGTTGCGCTCGAGGCTGCCTCCTTTGCTGCAGCCTTCATGCGAGGTCTGGCTGCCCCCCTACAACGTGTGTGGGGTCACCCCCCACCTGCTCTGGGCAAGCATCATCGTTGTAGGTTGTTGGGGTCCAGCAAGGGTGACAGCGGAAGTGGTGGCCGACGGGCTAGAGGTGGGGCGGAGGGGATGGCCGGTGAAAGGCTAGAATGGTCATTTTGAACAAAAGGGTGCTTTGTCGGAATTTTTTAAAGTTGCGCACTATCTGGGAAATTCTCAAAGTTTAGGGCTTTTTTCAGGAATTCACTCAAAAAGCAAAGGAATTTGTTGTTATTGGATGTGAAATTTTGACCCGAATATTGAATTCGGTGTACTGTTAAAATTGGTTTGTTATCTTTGATTGTTTTGGGTGTTAATTATTTGTTTTGGTTCTTTGAAGATTGCGAATGTTGTGAACGAAGGGAGGTTGGTGCCAGAGGAAATCATATTTGGGTTGTTGTCGAAAAGGCTCGAGGAAGGATACCAGAGAGGTGAAATTGGATTCATTCTTGATGGAATCCCACGTACGAGGATCCAAGCTGTAAGCCCTGTGCTGTTCCTGGTCCTGCATTGCCTTTTTTTAGTTTTGGTTGACTTAAGTCTAATATTTCAAAGGTTTTAATCGAAACTAACCTTGTTTCTTTTATGGATAGATCAGCTGTGTGTTTTGTGTTCACATAGAAGGTGTTATGAAAGAAAGCAGAATTAGCCTACGCTTGTCTTGTATTTTTATCTCATCACATGTTTTCTTGCAAAGATTAAATATGTTATCATTGTCTAATGATGCCTAATTTCTTATTTCTGATCATTTTGTGTGTTTGGGATTTTCACAGGATTGCTGTTAAACTGGTTGTTCTTGCCAGGAATGGCTGTTATATTTCTAGTGGAATCTAAGATCAAATATATGAATGCATATACTTTTTGAGAATGCATGCTCTTATTTCTATCTTCCTTTTTTTTATTCTCAGGAGATCCTCGATCAAATAGCAAATATAGATTTGGTAGTGAACTTACAATGCCGAGATGACTGCTTGGTGAAGAAACACTTTGGTGCTGATATTTGTTCACACTGTGGGAAGACATTTGATTCTAGCAATTCAGAGTCAACAAGCCTTAATCTCTGTTTGGCTACACGAACACGACATGCACAACTAAAATCATCTGCTGCAGTGGATATGAAGGATTCCTGCATGGAGAAATTCCGTGTCTATTCTGAGCAGGTATTTCTAAAATTTTATAAGAAGTGCGAATCTCTAGTAAGAGGCAGCATTGATCTTCTTGATATTTGGAAATTGGAAAGTTTTGAAATATCTAGGAACTTGTTGAGCATTATCACTTTGTTTTAATCTGATCTGAGTGTTTTTTCCCCTATTCTAACACTTGCTAACTAGTATGCTATTTTAGCTCTGGTTTGTGCTGGAATTTGGAATCCATTTTTCGTGGTATAATCTACGGGCTATGCAAAGAATAAGTTTGGGAAACCAGCTGAGTTTCTCCTAGATACCTATTTTTCTGATTCAGTTAAATAAACCTAAAATTTTCCAAGAGATGGATGTAATGGTGCACCTTATCACTCCATTTGACTCCACTAATATATATATATTTTTTCATATGTGGAGAGTCACCATCATACCTTCGATTATAGCCATGGCAAATTTTTTCTACTTCTGCATATCTTTCAAACTAAATATCTTTTGAGTCGTCAAATAAGAACAAGGGCAAGAAACCCATTTGTGTTGCGAACCCTCTTGCAAGGGAGATGTACTCATGAGTGTTTATATCATTTTGTCATCCTTTTATTAGAGGAATAGGGTACCCTAAGAACAAGGGCAAGAAACCCATTTGTGTTTCAAACCCTCTTGCGAGGGAGATGCATGCACTAGTGTTTATATCATTTTGTCATCCTTTTATTAGAGGAATAGGGTACCCTAATTTGATTGTCTTAGTTCTTCTAATGTATAACTTTAGAAGACGTGAGTTGCTAGTTAAATAATTCATGCGATGCTTACCCACCGCACAACATTTCTTTAATTGCTAGTGAGTCCATAAAATTATTAGGCATTTACTTTATTTTCCTGAAATATATGGGCCTCAAGTGACACGAAAATGATTTCTGATATTGGACCCACTTCTGTTCCTTGTTACAATCAAAACTAGTTCTGCTTTATGGAAGTTTTAAAAATTACCAAAATGATTGGTACATGCAGAGATACATACCTTGAATGGATTGAAAAAATAGGCATCGCCATTATCAACTGAATAAATCTTTGAATGATAAATCAAGGGATGAGAAAATTTTTGTTTTATACATGAAGCTGAATTATATAGGAAAAACAATTCTTAAGGTTTTAGATGATTTCTTTGTGTTTCTTCTGTGGCCATTTCAGTTTTGATATTGTTGCATAAGTAATTTACAGAATTCTGATTCCTTTTTTGTCTGTATTTGCATTTTTATAAGTAATATCAGTTGAATTCTGATATTAACCACATGGTGGCATCAACCTTCATGGTATATTGTATCACTTGTGGACTTCTGATAGTCGTGGGTATAGCTCATCCAAAGTTACCAATTTGACTTTAGCCCTTAACTGGATCTTACCCAAGCTTGAGTTGAGGATGCTCAACCATGCTTTTCCTCCAGCAAATTGGACCAAGCTAAGGCGAAGGTTGCACTTTCTGTGCAATCGTGATATGAATCTTACTAACCATGGATTCAAATATCCATTAGTAAATGTGGACAGACCGGTATTATTATGTTTATTTTTAAAGGGTGATATCAGATGGTACAGGTCAGTATATATTAGTACTGGTATGGTAGATTATTGAATAGAACTGTTATTTCTACGTCAGCCAACTTGATCGGACTGATTCCACCTCTGCCTTCTAACCAGTTATAGTGAAAATTATGAATCCATTCCCAACTTAGCTCTTATGGTGACCCATTCACAACTAAACATGCAAATTTGCTTCCATCATGTTGTGCATGTATCTGTTTATTAAATGTTGCAGCAAATGCTTTTTTGTGAACCAGTTTTTTGCATTCTTCTGACAAGATATGATATATGCAAATTTATATGTCCAGTAGACTCTTAACAACCATAATGTTTTCTACAGATCAAGCAGTTGGAGGAATACTATATGAAGCAGAAGAAGCTTTTGGATGTCCAAGTGACCGGTGGCCCAGGTGAAACCTGGCAGGGGCTTTTAGCGGCGCTACATCTCCAGCACATGGACACTGCTACTTCACAGAAGCTCACAGTGTAGGTTTTTTTGGCCATTCTGGAATTCATTGGTACAAACGAAAAGATCTGAGCAATTCCCTCTGCCAGCCCAAACAAACTCTCTAGTTTTCCTTATTACCTACCATATACGTAATCAGTTTTGTAGATGCATGTTTGTAATGTGAGACCTCTTAAGAGGAAATATGTAGTCTCCCTTTCGAGCAGTTGCTGCTGCTTATGTTTTGTTGATGGATGCGGAATCATCCATATCGGTGTTATACTGCGGCTATGACCATATTATTTGAGAGCTAATAAGCTGTTCCTTTCTGCCCCGTGCCAGTTTTATGGATTCCACATTGCTCTTTATAGACTTAACGAGCAAAATATGTTTTTGATCAAAAGAGGTCTGCAGGCTGATTTGAGATTGTGTCTACGATTTTGGTTTAAAATGGACTATTTATTTACCTCATTGGAAAATAAAATAAAATAAAAAAATATATAATTTTGTCTGTAAGTTCCAAGACTAAGTTTGGAACAATTCATTTTCTTTTGGATAAATCTGCCAAAATGTCTAAAGGAAGTTTCTTTTAGACTCTTTAGAAAAATGAAAGACGAATTGCCACAGAAAGCTTCCTTTTGAATTTTGTAACGCAGTATAAAAATATTATAATACAGTATTTTTTTGTATAAACTTACATTGCGTTACAGTGTTTTTAGTAACATCGGAAAAACATTATAATACAGTGCAAAACATTATAACGCAGCACAAAACATAATATTTTTGTCTTCGAGTAGTATTAAAACACTATAACGTAGTATACAAAAACTGTAATATAATGTTCTTGGTATTATTAAAAATATTATAATGCAGTGTAAAAAATTTGGTTAGGAAGGGAAAGTAATAGGAAAAAAAATATGCTGTTTAAGAATTCGGAAAATTGAAGGCGTTTCTCGAGAAAACCTTCAAAAAGAGTTTTTTTTTTTTTTAAATTCACCCAAAAATGAAAACCAAAAAACAATTCGTTGATAATTGGGTTACGTTTCCAAACATACAGTAGCAGTTTTCTACGAATTTTTTATTGCAACCAAATACGCAACACCACTCCAACTTCTCCATCACCACTGAAGTCTTCACTCACAACATGTATAGTTTAACTGATCATTCGAACAAATGAGGGCCAAAAAGGAAACAGAGAAAGAACTAAGAAATGTCAGGCATCCTTCAAAGCAGCATTGATAGAGAGGTCCTATAACGGCGAAGGAGATGACGTGACTTTACGGCGCACGGCAGCGAGAGACACACCGACTCGGTTCAGCTTCAGCGGGCACTTGCGCGCCCCGCGGCGAGCGGTGCTGTGCGTGCAGGTCGACGGCCCCGACAGAGCAACGGGTCCTTTCGGCAAAGCCTGCAGCAGCTCCATCTTGTCGATCCTCTCGGCGGAGGCCACCGACTCATGAAACATCGTCGAGCGCCGGGCTGCGGCAAGCTGCAGCAGCAGCAGCAGAAGCAAAGATGTGCTCCGGAGAGAAGCAAACATGGTCGCAGACGAGAGAGAAAGAGAGAGAGAGATGTATCTATAGCTAAATTCGGGCCCCTCTTCCTCGTTTGGTTAATATATGTAGAATGGACGTGCAGGCCTAATCTTTGAAAGCGGACGGCGGTCGAGGAAATGTGGTGGCAAAACCGGAAGACGAAGACGCAGGCGCAGCCGAAGTCAGCGGACGTACAACGTAGTATGACAACACACGAACGAGTGCTACGCAGAGAGAGAGATCCATATATAGCTCTTGTGAACAAGTGAGAAGGGCTCGCTCCTCAATTCTCATCACCCATCGCAGAGTTGTGCGCTCTCTCCTCACGTTGTGCCGTTTGACTATGGATTTTGCCGCTACTAGTACCACTACTACGGTCCGAAGTACGACTTTTGGTTCCGCCGTTGACTCTTCACGCTGTCACGCGGGCAGCTTCTCGTGTTATTATAGATTGTTAGGGCCAATGGAGGAGCTATCACATTCACACGCTTTGATTAGGAATGGTCAGCGTTTCCTTGTCAAATGCATACCGAAAAGGCTTTGTGAAAGGTTATAAAGTGCTACTGATGTGCTGTCAATCGATATATGATGGTAGGGGGATTGGATCGCCCAAAAAGCAATCCTGTGCTTGGATTTCTTTTGCCTTCTTTTTGTCATGTTGTTGACTTTTAGAGAGAATAATATAACTTCAAATTGCAGCCAAAGATGAATTCTCGGAGTCCAACGTAGCCGCAAATTTTTATTAAGCATAATTAAGTTAGATACGTAATGAGGACATAAACACAGTACTTGCATTTATTCAAGAACTAATACATCAGATTTGAGATCCACGGAGGACGCCAACTCAACAAAGACCAAATTAAAACTATAAAAATCTATATAAAATTAATCCATTGTGAGAACAGTTTCTAAGTATTATTTTATTGATTAGCATAAGTGAGACCCAAGTGTATCTCTGATTTGTAACCATTGTACAACATGACCCCTTGTTCCATGCTCAATTAATCCATTCTAAACCCTAAATCCAAAACTCAAGTGTATCCCTGATAACCATAAGCTAGATAGTAAAATTCAAAACCCATCCTAAACCCTAGATCCATGCTCAATGAACTATGCAGGAGCTATCATATCATCCAAAAATGTCATAAAATATCATGTATGATGGTAGCTTTCGATCAACATGCGCAGTCTAACTTGTTAGAGCATAACAAAACAAACCAACGAGGCTTGTTATATCAGCATAAATCTCATGAAGACATTTTTCGAATCATTTCTGATTTTGAGAATATTATTTTAACAACAAAACAAGATAATTTTTGTATATGTCATCCTAAAAGCAAAACTATGTGTTCTATGTATTATAAAGAATATGACGCTTACTGTTTGCTCGTTCCTGATCAGCTGAAGACCATCTCGGTGCTCATCATTCTGTCAGTACCTAAAAGACATAGTTCGTCATGAGAAACATCGATATGCCCATACGCATTTGAGCACTCTAAAGCAGCCTCAAAAACACTATGATGAATCCCATGGGAATTGATTTTGTAACCACCTTTGTGGTCTTGACCAGCAAAGCAAGCCTTTACTGCATCCAATACCTCTTCATAGTTCCACAAGAGTGCCTCAGGTGATGCTGCTTCGGGGTGCAAAGGAAGATGACAGTATATAATTATTACCTTATGTTCATTCTTGGTGGAAGATGACAGCATATAAAGCAACTGTTTCTTGCCAACAGCTGCATTGACCCATTAAGAATCTTTTTTTTAAGGCTTATCATGCCATCTGAGCTGTTCTTATCAGCATATTAGGGTTCTTCACCTTCAAGATACGCTTAGCTACCAATCAATGTGGTTGGGTGACCCTGTGCATATTATGACTTTCTATACAGTGCTCATTGACTTGTCCAATATCCCCAAAGTTCATTAAGAATTGGAGATCCTTGTGATCGTTTCAGTTACTTACTGCTCTCTGTAAAACCAGGATGCTATGACGATGGTATCGGGGAACTCCAAAGAAATGAGTGACCATCAGGAATATTAGCATACTGGACATCTGATATAACCCCAAATGAGAATTGATGAAAAGGCTGACTACTTTAAGTGACTTTAGTACATATGACAAACTCAAAAATAGATATCATCCATAATAATGTTGGGTTCTAGGTTGACTACTTCTACTACATTCATCTCGATAGTAGTAATGAGGATATAGAAATGTAACATGCTACCTTAGTCATGGATGAAACTAAGAGTAGGATATCATAAGTCCTATTTTTGGGAGTTCTACTTAATGCATTAGTATGAGTTATTAGCTAAGTCCTGTTTTTGCGAGTTTCTATAATAAAAGAAATCCATGCATTGCAATTTGATCTTTCTGTACTCTCAATCTGGCGTGAAAGCTTTATTTGCCCTAACTTCTTCAACGCTGTATACATTAGACGAGTATCTTTTTGTTCTTGTTTCATTGTAAAAAGCATAAGATGCAGGATCAGGAGCTAAATCTGAAGCAGGATTAGAATTAGTATCTGGTGAGGAAGTAGTGCCAAAGGAAGCCGTTAGAGGAGTCGAAAGATCACCAGCTGGAGAAGAAGATGGAGCAGGCGAGGAATAGGGATCAGAAGCAATTTCAAGTAGAGTTCCTGTTCGAGCAGTAGGATCAAAAGCAGTTCAAGAATCCGTAGTTAGGTTAGGAAGAGCAGAGCCAGAGATCCAACTGTAGATGAAAAGAAAGGAAAGTGAGTAGTAATAGGTAGATCAGCATTAGCAGCATCAACAATAGAGGTTGGCACTAAGAGAACAGGTTGATCGGGATCAGATGAAGCAGAAGCTGGAGAAGAAGCAGAAGACAGAATCAATTGGATTAGAAGCAATAGAATCTGTAGTTCAAGAATCAACAAGAGCTCCATTAACGCAAGGCTTTAGTGCGTAAAGCGTTAGTGAGTTTGAGTCTTGCATAGAATCTGGTAACCAGAGTAAGAGAGAGAGATGATTAAATTCAATTATGTGTTTATAAGATCAGGATTAGAAGCTGTTCAAAATTAATAGCAAGTTCAATTAAATCAACCACAGAAGATGTAGTTGATAGAGTGAAGTGTAGAAGCAAAGCACAAGTCAATTAGTTTGGTATAATATTTATTTATACATATTGGAAGAGAGGATTTTCCTCAATGGAGCAGCAAGATTTCCTTGTGTAGTTGGAAAAATCTCATCTGCTATCATACCCTCGCAAGATTGAGCTCCTGTTAAGGGTGTCAATCTTGGACCAATGCAACGAAAATAATTTACGGGCGAGAGGCTTTGTGAGTGAGTCTGTTAGTTGATCAGTTGTATGTATATAAGAGACACATAATTGATGTCTAACAACTTGATCTCGTATGAAGTAGAAATCGATAGCAATATGTTTCATGCGTGAGTAAAATACTGGATTGACACATAAGTAGATAGCTCCAACATTATCACAATATATTGTAGGAGTAAGGGTAGAGTTGATGTTGAGTTCCTTGAGGAGATTTGTGACCCAATTAAGTTCAACAGCAACGGTAGCGATGACACAGTATTCAACTTCAGTTGTAGACTGTGTGATTGTTTTTTATTTCTTAGAACTCCAACCGATCGGATTAGCTCCAAGGATGACATGGATGTTCTATCATCAAAGTTTCCCGTCCAATCAGCATCAACAAAGGCATGGAGATGAAGCGAGGTGTATTTGCGGAGAGGCCATGATTAATGGTCCCTTTAAGATACCACAAAATTTTTTTGACCACAGACCAATGCATAGTAGATGGCTGGTACATTAATTG